ATAAATCAGCTAAGCTCCGGCCTCCTGCCGCTAGAGGTCTCAACCCCCGCATTACCTGAACCTGAAATATGTGCCCCAAACATGGGATGAGATCTCTAAACAGAAATCTCAGTAAGATAAGGGGTCCTTAAGGATCTTCCACCCCAAGCTCATTTACATGTGCAATATAAGTTCCAAAAGCAGTTACACAGTATAAGTTCCAAAATAGTGCAATGCAGCAGATAATCATGTCATGTGTGTTATAACAATTCTACTGATCAGAAAAGTGCAAGAATATGTCTATTTCCCACACAGTACCAGCCCATGCTGTACCCGCCCCCAGTACCACCCCATGGCTTCCTGGCTAGGCGAAACACCACATACATATCATAAGCATTTTGCACTTAACAGCTCCATAGCATTTCAATAAAACAGTACATGAAAACACATCATGCATATAAATCATCCCCTCATGGGACATGGTGGAACATACAATGGCTAAACCGAGGACACGAAAGCTTACCTCTTAAGCAATACGTCCAAACCAAGAGCTCACACTAGCTCAAGCCCACAAACAACACAATCACAATCTGTTTATACAGTAAATAATTATCAATAACCATTACTCCAGGTTACATTAAGTGATTAAGGCTTTCCATATCATTTTAAGTCATTTTAGGCAGTTTCTGCAGGAGGTATTCGAATACTCCTGCTATCCAGAAATTATTCGACTACTTTCACTGAAGTATTCGAATACCACATGGTATTCGAATACCCACACCCCAGTATTCGAATACTACCCAGTATTCGACTACTTCTTGAAGGTATCCTAATACTTTTCTTCCCAGAAAAGTATCCTAATACTCCTGCAAGGAGTATTCGACTACCAGTGAACAAGTATTCGAATACTACACGAAAAGTATTCGAATACTTCTTCACCAGAATGCAGAAATACGAACAGTGATCTGCATAATCCCATTTTTAGGGGTCCAAATGCGATTGGGAGTCCAATGACTCCCTAAACAAATATTCATTAACATGTTATGAACTCAGAAACACATTTCTTTACTCAAATGCTTAAAGTTTCTCTTTTTAACCGATTAAACAAGCTTAAAACCTCAAAACGACAAAGGCTATGCTCATAGTATACCTCAAGCTCCAAAACTCCGAAAATGAGACACACAAGGGGCACTCTACACAGCACCAAGGTTCTGACTTTGCCAAGCCACAAAAATACAACACAAGCTTGGACTTTCCACTCAACGATGGCTCCAAGAAGCCTCCAATAGCATGAATAATGGCTCACACCAAGAATAACACCAACTCAGCCCACAAAACCCCCCACAAGACAGAAACCAACTCAGAAACAAGGCACCCTCACCTCCCCACCATGTACTACTAAATGTTTACAAGGTTAAGTGTGAAGAAATCTAAGTAAAAAAGTGAGTTCTTGGCCCTCAAAAAAGCACAAGGGTCCAAGCTTCAAGGGAAGGGACAATGGCGGAAGAGAATCAGCACTCAAGTCACTCACGTAGCAGCCAAATTATGGCCTAGGATTTTGTGCCTTTTAGCTTAAATAGGTCTACTTAAAATAACACTCAGTATTAACATTAACAGCGACGCTTAGCATTTTAATCCCAAAATTTAGATTCTGAACCTACTCATTTTTTTAAGATTTATCATATTTTTATTTTATTTTTCGCAGCACCTTTTCGGTACGCGCTTTTCCATAGCCAGTATCAGTTCTGGCACCAGTTCTCATTATTTTAACTTGAATTTTTTTTTACAAGTCCTATATATTATTCTAGTAACATATATACACTTTTTATAATTTTCTGGGATACTTCATCGGTACGCATTTATACCGAGTAACAGAACCAGTATCTGCACTTTTCGTCAGAAAAGCGACTTTCAGCATTATTACTCACTTACCATGATTATTTAAGCCTCATAATAATCATTAGGGTTTATTATGGAATTATTTCCTAATTTCACATAATTAATTAACTTCCTTAATTAACGGTGCGAGTTCTTACATCGCTTGCCTCACAACTTCTTTAGTTTGGACTTGAGTGATTGGATGCACATGAACTTGTGTGGTTCTTGGGGCCAAACTGATCATACAAATTGGATTGATGTATTCATTCCAACGTGCTAGTATCTAAGGACTGGGAGAAATCAAGATATTCATGATGCAAACTTTCACAGGCCACATAGAGGAAAGTGTGTGATTTCTGATTTTCTTCATCATATTTATGCTGCTAGAAACAAAATTAAGAGGAATATTTAGAGTACGCCTAAAGATCAGAATAAGCAATGGCAACCTCCAGAGCAAGGACGGTTGAAGTTAAATACTAATGGAGCTTCTTCATCTCTTAGAAAGCATGCTAGTTGCGGGGGTCTCATCAGAGATCGTAATGGTACTTTCATTAGAGGCTTCAAACAACAGCTTAGATATATTAACCCATTGGACGCAGAGCTATGGGGAATTCTGAAAGGTTTGGAACTAGCTTGGGGCACAAGAATAAGAAGATTAGTAGTGAAATATGATTATGTGAATGCCACATCCTTAATTCATAGCAGTGATCATAGTCCTAGGGAATCTTATATTGTCTCTCAAATACGAAAGTGGCTTCAAGAGGACTGGACAGTGCAATACAATCATATTTGCAGGGGGAAAAATACTTGCGCTCACTGGATTGCTACTTATCATCATAATGAAGACATGAATGTAGTTGTTTTCAACGGCTTTGCCCCTCTTTACTTACAAAAAAAAAAAAAAAATTGTGCCGAAGAGATTTTTTTACTTATCATCATAATGAAGACATGAATGATCGGTGAGAGAGAGAGACTTGAGGGAAAATGAACTGTGAATAAAAAATGAGGCTGAATAAAAAACAAGGCTGAATAATTTTTACTTATATAAAGGTTAATTTTGTAAATTTGGTCTGCAAATCTCAACAATATTTTAAAATCAACCAAACATGAAATCAGTAAACTTGAGTCAATATTAGTGGGAATATTTTAGTATACTGAACAACTTTTTGATAATATTCATGTGAAAATCACTTTCTCAGCATATTTCTGAAATCATAATTTTCGAGAACAATTTTTTTTTTCATATACCAAACAGCCCTAAAAGAAAATATAAAAATAAAATAAAAGAAAAGAGAGTGTTCCAAAAGCACTGATGTAAATAGGTCGGACTCGGTTGGGATTTGATATAAATAGGACCGGTCTATGACGCAATCTATTGCCTAATGGAAGCAAAATAATAGGTTTGGTCCGTCCTGTTTTTAGATGATTGGAAGGTCTATCTACAAGGCCTACTAAACCTATTATAATTTAAATTGTAATAAATTAAATATGGATTATTGAGAAATTAAAACACAAGAATAATTTTATAAAAAAGCATAAGAATAAACAGTCTCTTAAAAAACTTTTTGAAGTTAAGGAAAGATAAATTATTTATGCAAATTTGAGTATTCAATCTAAAATATGATATATTTTTTTTAAGGGTTCTCCACTTCTGCAACGACAAAATATGAGAAATTTTGTAGCAAACATATTTACACTAGAATCCGCGTGCATATCCTGGTATTTAAAAAAAAAAAATCAGGATTATTTTGATTTTCTATGTGATGCTGCAAAATTTCTTATCTGCAGCAACAGAAAAAGTATTAAAGCTTTTTTTTTCAAGGAAAAAGTGTTTGTCCTTTTAAATTTCACTCTCACAAAAAAGTGGGACCCACACTTTTATTTTATTTTTTGTCCACTCTCTCTCCTGTGGCGGACCCAGAAATTTTTATGATAGAGGGCGAAAATTAAAAATTAAAGTTACAAATATCATTAAAATTAATAAGAGAAGTTAAATATTATAAATATTTTTTAGGGAGGGGCTAATTATTAGGATTAATAGTCTATTGTTATTAAAAATATTATTTTATATATATAATAATAATTATTATCAAAATTTAGGGAGGGGCAACTGACGACCCTTGCCCCTCCCTTTGGTCCGCCATTGTCTCTTTTTCTCATGATCTATCTCTTTCTCTTACTTAAAATGACATAATTTTATATACTTAGAATGAAACACATTTTTCCTTTTTTTTCAATAGCAAACAAATTATTATATGATACTAAAAAGCAACATAAACAATGTTAGTCGGTGCACTTGTAATCATAGGCCAATTGGTGAAACTTTTTTAAAAAATAAATAAATTAATATATACATAAGTTAATCTTTAAATGACTAATTTAAAGCTTTACGGTTCAAGAATTATACGGCCTTTAGTTCATATAATTTTATCATTGAGACCCTGCATCAGTTTTTTGCGGTACAGAAAATGATGCATAAGTTTCACGGCATGCTCTGTGTGCGGTTCAAGGAACAAATGCTTTGCGTTTAACAGACTAATTTTGCTTCTTGTCAAAGGATTTGATGCTTGAAATGAACAATAGCTAGGATATACTATATGACCCACTACATTAATGGTGGTTCATGTATATCATGCACCCAAATAATTCAGGACCAAAAGTTTATGGTAAGAGAAAGACTAATGGTGGTTCATGTATATCATACACTATAAATGGGTATATGAATTACCTTTTCACTCAAGTGACAAGCTACCGATCCATCATGTACTGTTATAATGTCTCAAACATGATGTTAGTGGGGATTCGTGTGTCCATATTATAGAGTCCCAAACAAAAGCTATTTGTAGTGTGTGTATGAGAAGGACCACACAAAGTAGTAACCGAGTCACGAGATTGATATATATATATATATATGATCATGGCCACCAATTTGTAAACCATGATCATAATTGCCTGGAAAGCCACTTGAGTTAATCACAGGATGTGGTTACTATTATGCCTACGTTAAGGAGTCCTGTTCAGCAGTTTAAGACAGAAGTGTTATATCAATGAGTGGGCTACCTTGTACTGCAAAACCATATGCACAAGAAACACCAAATATGATATGATATGATGTCACTTACTCTAATAATTGACTAAGATTTTCAATTTATTACTTACTCTGATATGATATTAATTCGCTAATTTTGGTAATCACCGGGGCTTAAGCATATTTAGACACCACACCACACCACCAAATATGAACTACGTACATTATCACACACAAACAAATACAACTAACATTCACCATATTCAGATCTTTAAATTTGGGCAATTTCCATCCCATGTTCTTGAAAGGACTAGACCATAGTATATATAGTTTTTTTTAAGCATTAAGCCGAATCACGTCCAAGCCACTTTTGTCAGCAAATCGTCCCTTCTGCTGAAGGTTGTAATAGTCTTGGAACTTGATGCTTTTGAACAATGGTTTTTCTTTCTCCAATAGCTCCGGGGCAGGTCCAATTTCCTTATCAAGTGCGGGTCCATTCACCAGCACAAGACTTATCCTAGTGTCTTTGTTGTTGAGAATCGCTCGGTGTAAAACGCTCTTGTACCTCCCGTTACTCACAGCCTAATAATACAGAGGAAATTAAGGAAAGTAAACAATTCTTTCACTCATTATTTAAAAAAAAAAAAAAAAAAGTACTATAAAAGGAAAGCAACGTGATGTTATCATAGAAGAGAAATAAATAGTGACCTCAAGTTGATCATTAATGTTGACAACTAGGCATTTAGGAATGGGATTAACGTTAACCCATTTGCCATCATGCTTAACCTGAAGACCTCCAATTCCATTCTGTGTGAGTAGGGTGATTAAGCCATGATCAGAATGTGCCGGCATCCCCAGAGCAAGGTCTGGCTGTGGACATGGTGGGTAAAGGTTGACAGCAAAGATCTGAAACCCAGAGTCAAAACCTGTTGACTCAATTATGGAATTGGGTTCTAATCCCAAGCTCTCTGTTACTCCTTCAAGCAACTTCCACACCACTGCTCTGACTTTTTGGCAATACTCAAAAGCAACCTCCCTGCAGAAAAAAAAAAAAAAAAAAAAAACTTTTTTAAGGCCAAGAAAGAAACAGTGACAATAGTGCATGCAGAGGAGAGGAGAGAGGGTTTTGAAGTTAATTAATTAATTACCTGTAACCTGGTGGTTTGTTGGGGAAATTGAATTCAGGGTGTGTTATAACCTTGAGATAATCTCTCCAAAAATGATGCTTTTCTGCTTGAGGATGGAAGCTGGTGCCATGCCTGATGGGTGAGAAAGTTCCTTTGTCACCATACTCATTCTTTGCCTCCACAGGCAAATCATGAAACTCTTTTGAGTACCTCATCACTTCTTGTATCAGATTTTCGGGTATTCCATGATTTGTGAGCTGAACAGTGAGCAACACACTTGGGTTTAGTTTAATTTAGTGTATGTAAAGTTTTGTTGGGGGAAAGGAAAAAGGTTGAGGACTTACCATGAAGAAACCCCATTCAGCACAGGCCTTGGCGAGTTCATGGACAGCTGGAGAGTGGATTTGAGGGTCGTGTGAAGTGAGGAGAGAGAAGTCAATGACTGGGATGGAAGATGCAAGCTCGTCAGCGACATCATCACGGGGTTCAGTGAGAGAGTAGTAGGTTGAAGGGATGGGAGAGGCTCCGTTTGATTCTGCAAAGGCTTTGATGCTTGAAATGTCTGATGCATGAACCTTTGGTGGTTCTGATGAGGAAACGGTTGTAGCTGAAGCCATGGATACTTTTTAGTGAGTGAATGAATGGGAGTGATATTTCATTGTTTGAAGATAATGCGAAATTGTCGTCATCTGAGGAAGGTGATTTTGATAATAAACAAAAAATTACAGACAAAATCTGTGTCAGCTTAGCAGGGGAATTGTCCTACCACTAATGGATTCTAACGTCGATGGCTTTAGTTTTGAACTCTTTTCTCCCTCCTCAATTTCACCCCGTCTCTCTCATTTTTTAATCATTAATATTAATTTCCATATACTTTTTTCATTTCCCTCCATGTCCATCAATCACCTTCACCATCAGCATCACCCACTGCCCACTCCATGATCAATTTTCAATTAATTAAGAAATTAATATTTCCTGTTTGTAGTTTTTTTAAGGAAAGAATTATTTTTTTAATTTGTGTAACATCAGTTCTCCCATCATCACTAAATTATTAAATTACTGTAGTTTAAAAGAAAATCAAGTGTGAGATCACTCCATTGAATACTTTTTTTCATCACTTCTTGTATCAGATTTTCAGGTATAATGATTTTTTTTCATCAAAATAATTTTATCAATATTTTAAACACTTTTATATCTTTATGATTTTTTTATATTATAATTTTTTATCTATCTTTCGATTTTACGTAAAATCTCAATTTTAATTAAATTGATATGGGTAGAAGAAACTTGGTGAGGAGGGGGTGACAAAACTACCCCGGACTAATTTTGTTTCGAAAAACATTATATTAGTAAAAACAACAAATTATTTGATATTACAAGTCTACAATGGTGAGTCATCTGTTTCACGTTTCAAGTAAGCAATGCATATGTCGTTTGCATAGACAATGTGGACACACACACAATACAATGTCGTTTGTTTAGCCCGTATAATATAATATTCGCCGTTTTAAAACAGCGAAAGAGACAACACATTGTAGTCGACTCGATCAATCCAAGTGTCCCCTTCGCTCTTCTTGATCATGTCGTCCTTTTACGCAAGTTTGTCAAACTTTTTCCCTTTCAAAACGCAACGATTGCAAAGATCCAAGACTTGATCACGAATTATTGGATTAGAACAACCACAACTAATGCCCCTGCTTTTTTTGCTTTATTTATTTGTTTGATCTATTTGTCTTTGGATTTTAGAAACTCGGATATTTTTTAGTTATTTACCAAAATGTGTTACTTCTCTTAATTTTCTCCATTTTTCTTTATCTGAGGTGATATTAACCAATTCCCTCTTGCCAGCTCTACGCACCTTTTATAATCGTAGTCGCAACATTATTCCCTTCAGTTCAACACAAGACTTTCAGTTAAAAATTGTGATGTGGCATCATGCTATCATCAAAATTCAATGCATGCTTTAATCATATTATTGTGTTAATAAGTTTTATAATTAAAATGCTGTGAGAAGAGTTTTAGCTCAAAATAAGTATTTATTAAATTAAATTAAATAAATGATAAGAGGATGAGATTAGAGTAGTGATAAAATTATTTCTTTATATCTGTAATTACAATCTTATCCCTACGCTCGTTAATGAAAGTTTAATAATAATGGATTTTTTTAAATAAAGTCAAGAGTTCAGAATGACCCTGGGCCTGTATAACGAGGAAGAAAAAGACGGGGAAACATGACAAAAAGAACATTGGAGCTGCGGGGAATCGAACCCCGTGCCTCTCGCATGCGAAGCGAGCGCTCTACCATATGAGCTACAACCCCTTTGAATAGGTGCGTCCAATTATACATTAATGATAACTAGACCATAACCATTACGAACATTTGTAACCAAGATTAACAAATGACAAATATTAGTTTATTGGTTTGGTGTTTGTCATTTTAAATTATATAAGTTATGTAATTTTAGGAGAGAGATAGACACAAAAAATGAAAATCATGGGAGAGAGAAAGTGTGTGATTTTTTTAGTTTAAATTTTAAATCTAAAAAATTATTTTATGTCTATCTCTTTCTTAAAATGACATATTTTTATGTCATTTAAAGTAACAAACACTTAGTCTATATATATATATATAATTGTTTATGCGAGCTGATGTTACTTTTAATATAATTTCTCAAATCATTTTTTATATAAAAAATTAAATATATGAATACATTGTTATGTATACCAATGATCACCCTTCGTTTACTTTGACAAAAAATGTGCAACGTATATTATGACATTTGCAGAAAATATTAAATTTAAAAGAGACGCTAGGGTTGAGAAAAGTTAGACGATAATATTTTTTATTTATTTATTTTTTGGTTTTTAAGAAGGGCGGGAACTTATAATGCACCGATGCTTCAAAATATCTGACGTGTTGTGTCCGACACTCAATAATAAAGTCACGTTAAGGCAGGATTGGGCCTTGGTCCAACCTAATTTTTGAAAATTAGCCATGTTTTAAACGTGGCTAAATCACCATATCTAATTTATAGGCTAATTTTTAAAATTTAACCACGTTTTAAATGTGACAAAATAACCTTAGCTAGGTTTGGCACATGCTGATTTTGTTTAGCCCCGGCTAAGTTTTTAAGTTGGCTCTGCTACTGCCAATACTTTGACACTTTACCATGAGTTGTAGAGACTCAAAAAAGATTCAAAAGTTGCATTGCGTTGTGTTTTTAGTTTTAACTACTAGATTCATTGGATTACGATTATCATTTTATTGAATTTAATATAAATATTTGTGATATCTTATTTTTTCGGAAAATTGATGGGTATTATAAGTTTAGTTTTATTTTTTTGTTAAATTATTGAATATTAAATATAATATATACTACATAACTTAAAAATATTAATTAATATGAAAATGTATCCTAACATGTTGAAATATAATATATTTTAAAATTAATGTGTCGTAATATCGTGTTCTATATCGATGTCTGCGCAACATACGCTAGAAGTGCAAGTGAAAAAATGTGGTTCCATTTAATTTAATATTTTTTTTTATAATTCTCTCTCGATCGCTCTTTTTTTTTTTTTTTTTAGAAGAAATCATAGTGCTTTCGAAAAACTAAAAAAGCGCTCCTAAACAACAGCTACATTAAGGTGCGAGGAAACTCCGACAAGATCATATAGTAAACTCCTACACATATTAATGCAGTGAAGTCTAGAGCGAAGCTAGCAAGCTAACATGCTATTCAGTTATCTCTCTTAAACCATGCTACAAGCCTATAACCAAATTTAAAAATAATTTTTTATGCATTTAATTTTATAAACTTAACTTTGATTAAAAAAAATGAGATTAGAGTAACTAAAATCTTGCCAAACATGTTAGTTTGAGAGACAAACTATTGTTATTTGGGAACAGTGACCAAAGTGCCACTGTTCCACAACTTATTTCTCTAAATGTCAAGCTAACAATACAATTTTCTAATATGCCACGCGAGCAAAATTTTTACAGTACCCAGCGAACTTGGTAGCCAATAATTTTGTTACACGTGACATATTTTGGCAGAAAAAGTTAACTACCACGTGTCCAAGTTCGTTACTACTGGTAGCGAACTTAGTAGCCAATGATTTCGTGACATGTGGCACACTTTTGTTGTAGAAAAAGCTGACTGAACGAAGTTCGCTACCAGGGGTAGCGAACTTGGTGTGCTAGGTGGCACAATCTCATTGCCCGATCAGAATTAATGTTCCAATCACAATAAAAAAACAGAAAATGAAGGAAAATGACAATTAATTGTCATTAATGTATTAATCATAATTAATATACCAATCACAATTAATGTATCAATCGCAATTAATTTTGATCGGTACATTAATTGTTTGTGATATCATTGTTACAAATTCGAACGATGTTTGTGAGAGATAAAATATGACAAATGAGGTGTCATTGGGTAGATCTCGAAAAATTATATGAAATAAAATAAAATATATCTGATTTGGATATCTGAATCAAAAGTTATGGCACTCTGAAGTGATTGGTGATTGGTACATTAATTGTGATTGGTAAAATCAAAAGTTAATCCTATTTGTACGCTAATTATGATTGACACATTAATTGTGATTGCTAATTGACACATTAATTTTGATTGGCACATTAATCAAATTTCCATTTTCCTTCATTTTCTGTGTTTTATTGTGATTGATATATTAATTCTGATTGTGTCACGTGGCACCTAGTTCGCTTGGACCTTTAGCGAACTTGGTGCATGTCAGACACGTGGCACACCTAGTTCGCTGCATGTGGCAGCGAACTTCTCCAATGTGTCAGCATTTATTGCAACATAGTTTGCTACTGCAAGTAGCGAACTTGTTGTCCACCAGAAACGTGCCACATCAGCAAACCAAGTTCGGTCAGCAAACCAAGTTCGCTTGGCACTGTAGTGAACTTGCCCACGTGACATATTGGAAAATAACATTATTCGCCTGACATTTAGGTAAAAAAACTGATGAACAGTGACATTTTGATCACTATTTCTGTTATTTGCATGTTTGCTACGAAGCTATGCTTTGGACTACGCAAATATCCCCCCAACGTGTTCTATGTTTCCCTTGGTGCTCGAGGACGCCGCTTCCACAAATGTTATTTTTTGATTTTCAACGGAAGGGGAGTAAGAAATTTATAGGAAATGATTAAGGATTTTTTTTTTTTTTTTGTAAATAAAGAGGGGCTAAGCCCCAGAAACAGAAAGAAAATACAAATCAGAAATTAACAAGCTAGACATATTTCTAGCATCAGCAACTATAAGTTCCATCAACTGAGGAGGAGGATCTTTAAAAATCTTGAAATGGAGATTATTAGTCTGCCCAGCTTTAGCTAACCAATGAGCACATTTGTTGTTTTCTCTCTTGGTATGAACAAGATGAATAGTCCAATCTGCTTTTAACCATAATCTCAATCTGCTAGTGACTTGAGAGTCCCTAAGATCTTCATGCTGCTCCTTTAACATCTGGATGGCTTGGCTAGAATCAAATTCTAGCTCTATTCTTTTTAATCATGTTCCCCAAAGCAGTTCCAAACCTTTCAGTAATCCCCATAATTCTGCATCAAGAGGATTGCATGAACCTAAATTACAATAGAAGCTTCCCAAAAAGGATCCATTGTGATCTCTTAATGATTAAGGATTTTTAATTGATATGGCCTTGAGTCAGTGTCAATGAGTAATAGGACTCATTTATTCGATAATAAATAATATGGCTTTTTGACCTTAGTAGGTTGATTTTTATAAGGTTTTACCGGAATAATTCCTTGATCAAAAGTATT